CCTTGTTGAGGCTATCTTTATTTAAGCAATCCACATTGTTGTTCCCTTCTTAGCAAACATGCAATATCCTTATTTCCCATTCCTTGTGTGTCCACTGTTCAATTCATTTCAGCAGATTAGAGTGAGGGCTATATTAAGGTGGTTTGTCCAGTAGTATAATTGCAGCTTTTGAATCTATTTCTATAATCACTCTTTTATGTCCTGCATCCCAGGCCAACTGTAGTCCATGGATGATTCTGTGACGCCCCCACTTCTCCCAAAGGCGAACCCAAGGGTATCTGTGGGACGCCTGCCCTGCTCTCATCAGGACTCAAGACAATTCCAATTCAAACTTAAAGTCTAATACTAACAATGAAAATCGGAATAAAAGTACGAAGTCATTTCCATATATAAATATTCAATCTTACAATCACTTTTCCTAAAATATACGACATCCAAAAGTGTATAGTCGATTACAATCAAAACATTAATACAAAAGTGCCTCAAGTCAGCATTTCCTTAACTTCTTCCATTCCAGTTCCTGTTAAGGAAAACAAACTAATGGGATAAGCCAATACTCAGTGAGGCCAAAAAAATCATGCAAGCATGTAGTTCAACTATCAATAACATTTATACCATGAATAAAGCGATAAAGTCAAATAATTCACGATTAACAATTAAACACACTTGAGTAGGATACAGGAACTCTCTGGAGCTAATTTCCACCTACTATGCCACGGCTCGATCCGATACCCCCTCGTGACGACACTCCGCCATTCGGGTAGGTATTATGTCCGTAGAAGCTTCACTTATTACTTCCTCCATCCATCATTCCACCCCCTCGGATTCATAACCAAACACGCACAAAAAGAGCTATACTCGACGAGTATGTCGAACAAGACCTCAAGAGATCAAGTTTTGTTTTAAGAACATGCACGAAAAGGGCGATACTCCACGAGTATGCTGAACATGATCTCAAAAGATCAAGTTGTGTTTTGTTATTCTCTTGGTTTATCAAGCTTCTCGACCAAACCCATGCCGGCTCGAGTTGCAAGATTGGCTAAGAGAATTGGGCATCCCGATAAGTCGAGGAGGTTCACTCCACTCGACAACACGACACGTACGACATGCACGATAACACGACATGCACACGAAAACAAGTATATTTTGCCGATGAGATTCACTCCAATTGACTTCAAAAAAAAATCGAGTTTAATGCAAGTAAAGTTCAGGTAAAGGAGAGCGAGTGAGATAAAGTACACACTCATCCCATCAAGTAACATTCACACATGTAAGCAAGATAGATCAAGTAAATACATCAAGTTATGCACTTGACACTCACGTAGTCAAAATAAGAGTGGTGGACAATCAAGTATTTATGCATCCCTTGTGAGATCCTCTTGAAGGTCTCCTTGAATGCCTAATCAAATAATTTATAATTACACACTATCACTTTTAAACCCCTTATTAACAAGAAAGAGATTGTACACTTGTACAATCTAAGAAAATATCATGAAAGAGAGCCTTAATTACTCGTAAATCGAGACTCAAAAGTGTGATTTAATAATACAAGGAAAACTGATTTTCAGCTTTGAAATCAACTGTAAAATGGTCAAGAAATATCGAAGGGAAATGGAGAGTTTCTAAAAACTCAATTCCCTTCAAGTTCAAAAATTTCAGATTTGAGGTGCAATATTTGAAAAATCATATCTCACTCTCGGTAGATTCAAAATTGGAAAACTTGGTACCATTGGAAACTAATTCCAGAGTACTAAAAGTTCTTAGAAGACAGTTTTCCATGATTCAAAATGGAAGATACTTGAATTTCGGCCTCAAGTTGCTGATTTGGACTCTCCGGACAGATTCGGGGTTGGTTTTTGACAAACTTTGGAAATTCAGAAAAATTCACAGAATGCGAACTAGCTTCTAAAATTTGGAATTCAATTAGAGTTACAATCAAAGTTTAAAGAAAACAAATGGAACATGAATCAGAGTTTTGAGCGCCAAGATATAGCATCTCAAAGTTGGCCAAAAATTGAGACTGTTAGGCAATTTTCCAGATTTGGAAGTTTAAGTTTGGTAACTTATTCGTACGTCAAAACAGTTTTGGAATGACACCAAAATTGGCACAATTCAACTCCCATATGAATATTACCCCTATACCAAATCTCACTTGAAAATTTACAAGGAAAGGTAGTTAACTAAACTACCAAAGTTCAAGGGAATCTGAAGACAAATCTGTCTTCAAGCTTCCGTTTTCCACTATCAAACATTTGGCCAATGAAATCATCTCAAACATGGTTCTTTTATGAAGTAAAAGTCTAAGAAACATCCAACATATATTTGATAGGTGGTTAACACCAAGAATTTCAAAATAACTAGTCCCAATTCGAATTAAGGCATTCAACAAGCCAAAAAGAGGGTTTTCCATCACTAAGACAGTTTTGTAATTTGGCCAAAAATCACTCAATTCAACTTGGAACTGACCATGGTTGATGGCGTTGGAAACTACATTCATAAGGCTACAATTTCACAGAAGGAATTGTTTTAAAATTCTGTCCATAACTAGCTCATATTCAAGCAACAATGTGTGGTACTTAACAGGCTCTCTAACACAGCCGAGAAACAGGACAGGTGACTTTGAAAGGCTGGTACGGTTCACTCAAGTGAAATCTGGGATGCATTTTATACCATTAGAAATTTTGAAGTATCTAGTTTCTAATGCCATAAACAGCACTCGATTTCAACATCGGAGCAAAGAGTGATAGTCATTTGAAATTCGCTACCAGAGCAACTCTGGACACGTTTTCCAGCCATGAAACCATTTCGAAAATTCAACTTTTGGCCAACCAAATCAAGTGATTTTTGGTGAAATATTTCCACACAACCTATAAAACATATCTAAATCAAAACCAAGTCAATTTAACCACGCAAAATTGCACCTAGAGGGGCGGCAAAGGCAGGGCAGAACCAGCCCTTCAACATGCATCACTTCCTTTGATTTTCTTTTCACTCTTTCAACTTAAATCCACTAGATTAACACTTAATCAACACAAATAACATCCAAACTCATCAAATCAGATCATCAAGTCCATTGTGGGATTTCATAGAGTCCATTCACATGATTTTCAATAATCCAAAACTACCCACATGAAGCTACAAGCTTTTAAGTGTAATCTAACTTACAAAAGCTAAGATTCAAGCGTTAGATGATTAGCTGCCTCCTTAGATGATGAAGACCAGAATTTTTTGCCACAAGAAGCTCAAGCAAACCATGAGAATGAAGTTCCTTTCCTAGCCCAAGATGATCTCAAAGTTATTTGCTAGTTGTGGTATGAATTTGAGAGGATTTGGTGCAAGAAAGTGAGATGAGATGAAGAAATTTTTTTGGTCTTCTTCTCCTTGGTGTTGCACGGCTGCTTGAGAGAGAGAAAGGAGAGTTGTTGGCTGATGGTTGAGGCTTCCTTGAGAAGCTTAAGAGTTTGTGGCCAAAATTACTCCAAAAGTCAACTAAGAATAGTACGCGTACAAGCGCGTTTCGTGCCCGTTTCCTCTCGGGTTTGTTTCACTTGTGCGCTAAACCTCTAATGCACCTCCATTGATACAATTATTATTCACCCTTAATTGTCTAAACATAAAGGTCTAAAGTCTCTCAATTACTCGTGCGCTAAAATGCGTACTTCCGATTTATGCGCGATAGAGTGAAATTTCTAAGAAATTCTGACAACGATAGTATTACTAACTAATACTTGAGTGCTTAAACATAAAAATAACCATTTTAGGGTAAGCCAATAAATAAGTGAATAAATCGATAAAACAAATAAATAAATAGACATAAGAATTACGAGTTCTCAAATCTCCAAGGTCACTGTACTCTCAAATCGACTATTGCCTCCAAATGCGTTTTCACTAAATCTCACTAAACGAGCTTCCGAAAATTAAATTTATTAACGGAACATTTTAAGAATATATGCTAATCATAGTTCCATATAAATGGTTCCAAAAAGGTTAAAATAAATTATTCAGAGAAAACGAATGAATAAATATTTAAATAAACTAATAATATACGACAAAATAAGAAAATTTTCGGGTCCTCACATCCTCCCCTCCTTAGAAAGAATTTCGTCCTCGAAATTCATACTTAGGATAATAGTCATACCCCCTAATAGTCAGCTTATCAGGTCAATCAATAACTTACAGTCTCCAACCAATTTTTTTTCACAATTTCTAGTCACCTAATTTAGCAGTCAAACTTTGATTCTATCTCATGAATCTAGAGCTTTACAAAAGTGTGTCGTACTATGGTCACTTAGAACCTTAACTAAACAATAGAAAGCGATAATCATGCCTTCAATGACCTTAGCAGGATTGGAAACCTGTTGATAATCTAATGCATAAACCCTAGCCGGTGCTTTAGATCGACTTCCTCCAGCACTAGACTGTTTCGATATTGACTTGTCTGGCCGTTGAGCACTACCTCCTTCCTTTGGTATACTCAGACAGTTCGCGATTTGATGTTCAGTGCTGCCACAATACAAACACTTTCCTGATTTCTTCTAGCACTCATTCTCTGTATGGTTAGGTTTACGACAATAACCACAAATAACTTAAGGAGCCACAGCCTGACCACTTGGAGGTGTCTCCCTTGGTTGACCAAGTCCATTGTGGCCTCCTCTTGATTGAGTCCTTTTTGGTGTACTAGATGTCTCTACTATTCCCGTTCATTTTTCCTCTTTAGAAGGTGGGACACCCTTATCTGCTTGTCCAAGAGGATAACTAGTAGTGCCCCTCTTCTTGGCATGAAAATCCTTAACTTGTAGCCTTGCGCTTTCAACTCTCTGCGCCTTCTCTAGGGCTTTGGTGAAAGTAGAGATTTGGGCCATTGCTAACCCCTCTTGAATCTCCACGTTAAGTCCCTGTACAAATCGCCTTATCCTTCTCCTCTCAGTGGCTACCAATTCTGGGGCGTACCTACAAAACTTAATAAATTTTCCCTCATACTCGGCCACACTAGACGCCCCCTACTTTACTTTTATGAATTCGTCCTCCCGTTTCTCTTGAACCAAGGGTGGGAGAAACTTCTCATTAAACTCTCCTAAAAGATTTTCCCAGATCCAAGGGGTTTGTGCTCTTTCCCATTTTTCCCTTATCATATCCCACCAAGCACGTGCTGCACCCTTAAACTGAAAGACAGCAAAAGTCACTTGCCTCTCCTCCGCATAATCTAGGGCGGCGAAAATGTTAGTCATTCTTTCTAGCCAATTCTCCGCTACCTCAAGATCAGGTTCACCAGTGAACTTAGGCGGGTTAAATTTAAGGAACCTCTCCAAGACTCTATCTTCCCCTCTATCCTGGCCCCCAGGTTGGTTAAGTGGCCCTGGTCCCTGTCTCTCAGCTAATCGTTTTAGGATATCAGTCATCCTATTAATGGTAGTAGCCATTTGGTTAACGTCTATATTCTCTTGTCCTTGGATCGGTCCAGTTGCCGATCCTTGTTCATCCCCTTGAGGTTGGGCTTGCCTAGACCATAGCCCACGACCTCATCCACTCCTTCGTCCATCCATAATTCTAGTGGTACCTAGTGCAAGAAATAAAAGTGGTCACGCGAGAAATTTCTTAAAACAAGAGCCGATCTTGAAAATATCAGAGATAACATTAATTAACATGTATTCACACTTTAAAATTCATAAAATTAGTAAGTCATGGGGGAATTACAAAAATATAGCACACAGGTGTCACAAAAGTACTTTTAGTCACATACAACTAAAGTCAAGTCAAGTGTCTCAAAAGTAGGCCACACAGTCATACAAAAATACAATGGCCTTGGCACTAGTATCACCCCAGCTAATTCTAACTACATCAGTCAAAAGAGTCTAATTTTTCTCGTTCATTTCTGACTCATATCAAACACTTAGATCCTATTGAGTTACATAGAACCATCCATCAATCTTTCTCTACCTCTCTCTCTTAGGCTCAACTACATTCCATTTCTCTCTAGTCAATATTGTCCCACACTCAGTTAAAATATTTTCCGTCCAATGTCTCATTTCTCTTACTATACGAACTAGACGTCCGTTGACCTCTTGCACTTGCTCTCCCAAAATATTAGTCTATTCTTGTTCCTCACAAATGGAGATCTCAAGTCCTTAGCATTGCCCTCAACTTTTAAGCACTCGGGTACAAGAATCCGAAATAAGGTAATTCACAACTCGAGTTGGCCAGTTCCAAGAGTAAATCACCACATTTGAAATTCCTACCCAGCATACATATCTAATCTTTCCCAAGTATCAAGATAAAGGATTTATACCAATCACATTCATGATTCACAACTTACGCTCTAGAAGAGTACTCAAGTCTTTACTCATTCATATAATGAGGACCATAACACCATTTGGCCCAAATTCACCACGCGAAGCGGCTCTGATTTTTATGCCTACAAGCGGTCTCTTAACTTTCAAACCAGTCCCATAGTCCGGTATCCTAAATTTTTAAGTTTAGGATACACTACAAAGATCTGAAACCTAAGCTCTGACACCAACTGTGACGCCCCCACTTTCCCAAGGGCGAACCCAAGGGTATCCACGGGACGCCTATCTAACTTTCGCCAGGATTCAAGACAATTTCAATTCAAACTTAAAGTCTAATGCTAACAATGAAAATCGGAATAAAGGTACGAAATCATTTCCATACATAAATATTCAATCTTACATGACAATTTCAATCTTACAATCACTTTTCCCAAAATATACAACATCCAAAAGTGTATAGTCGATTACAATCAAAACATTAATACAAAAGTGCCTCAAGTTGGCATTTCCTTAACTTCTTCCATTCCAGTTCCTGTTAAGGAAAACAAACTAATGGGATGAGCCAATACTCAGTGAGGCCAAGAAAATCATGCAATCACGTAGTTCAAGTATCAATAACATTTATACCATGAATAAAGCGATAAGTCAAATAATTCACGATTAACAATTAAACACACTTGAGTAGGATACAGGAGCTCTCAGGAGCTAATTTCCACCTGCTTCGCCACGGCTTGTTCCGATACCCTCTCGTGATGACACTCCGTCATTCGGGTAGGTATTATGTCCGTAGAAACTTCACTTATTACTTCTTCTATCCATCATTCCACCCTCTCGGATCCGTAACCAAACACACACGAAAAGGGCGATACTCGACAAGTATGCAGAACAAGACCTTAAGAGATCAAGTATTGTTTTAAGAACATGCACGAAAAGAGCGATACTCCACGAGTATGCTGAACAAGATTTCAAAAGATCAATTTTGTAGACACCAAAATTTTAGTGTAATTTGCATTTACTATTTTGTCTTAATTTTTATTTGTCGTGTTAAGTTTTATTCACTTTTTAGTTTTTAGTTTTTTAGTTTTTATTTTATTATTTTTATTTGTAAGTTTTTAGCATAGAATTTCTCAGAAAAGAAAAAAAAAGAAGAAAAAGAAAAAGCATTCAAAAAATATACTTTAGTTGTTTTGATTTAAATTCCATGTTTTCTTGAAGGAAAAAAGAAAGAAAAAAGATGAAAAATTGAAAAAAAAAGTGAAAAAGTTTGAAAATTGAAGGAAAATCTTTTAATGTAATAGAAATTATTACTTTTTGATACATTTTAACTATTTTCAAATAAAAGGAAAAAAATTTCAAAAAAATATTAATTTAGGGGAAGGTTGGTTTTATTTCAGGTTACAAGCATTTTTTGATTGCATTTTATTTTTGTTTCTATTATTGTTATTATTATTATTTATATTTTATCAATTTTGTATTATTTTCAAAAAAAAAAAGAAAAAGAAGAAACCCGCGGCATGCAAGCTGCGTATTTTTTCGCAGCTTGCAAGGAGGAGTTGGAGGAGCCATCGGAGGGCCAGGAAAAAGGGTCAAGCTGGGGTGGTTTAGAAACCATTGGATGATAGGTTTAGGGATTAGGGGGGTCATATAAAAGGGAAGAAAAACAGTAGCCGCAGAGGGGAGATTGGGGGGAGAACAGCAAAAGAAAGACACGAAAAGAATAGACGACGGCTGAGAGTTTTGAGGGAAATGAAAAGGGAGAGACGGGAACAAGGGGAAGAAACCAGAGAAAAGGATTAGCGGCGTGTGAGGTTACTGGGGGAGGGGAAATCAGAGAAAGAAAATCGCAAGAGTGGTGGGCTAGATTAGAACTGAAAGGCAAGAATAGAGGGGAGGAGGAGGCAAAGAAGAAACAGAGGAACGGCATCAGAGAAGTAAAGCTTCAATCATCAACTACGTCGGCGACCAAGTTTTTCTTTCTTACGGTAAGAACTCTTTCTTTTTCCTGGGATTTAAGTTTTAGTATTCAGATATCATTTTTGGTTTTTATGAGAGGAGTTTTGGTCAGTTCTAGTTGATCGAAGTTGGTAAGCATGTCTTCCATCGTCTGTGGGTTGCCGCTTGCTTCATCTTGTATTATTCTTGTGTTTATACCCCAAAGTTGGGATCTTTTGCTGTTTATATGCATGTCCATTACGTTAATGCTTAGGATTTGTTTGGTACTGTTGTTAGACTTTGTTATTTGGCTGTGGTTAGCGGCAAGATGTTAACTTTAAACAGAAAAAATGACATTTTTCATGGCTGGCTCATTCGAGAAGGCATCTGGGTTCATATGTAGCAGAAAATTCCCATGTTTGTGTTTTTATTCTTGTTTGTGTGCTGAAATCTTAAGGTTTCATGTCGGCAAAAAAATGGGAAAGAATGTTTGGGGGGTCTTGTTGCCTGAGTTTAGATGGTTTCAACTGAGTTTGTTTGCGCATAAATTTGCTGCAGCAAGTTCAGAAATTTTCAGTTTGTTGCATCGATACGTGTGGGTTGGTTTTTCTAAAGTAGATGCAAATTTTGTTTTGGTCAAGTTTCTTCCTGTGGGTCTGTTTATCTAAGTCTTCGTCATATCACAAACTGGCTGCTGGATCTTTTTGCATAAAGTTTATGTTTCCAGATAGGCATGCCGCCAGTTTCTTCTTCTTTTTCTCCTTTTTGTTGCAATTTTTCATGCCTGTGGCAGCTGCGTTCTTAACTCTTAGTCGTTCCCACCAGAATCTGAGTTCATGTTTGGGTTGTTCCTGGTTTTAATTTTGCATTCACTTCAGTCATACATGGTTGCTTTCCCAATCTCTTGTGCTTTTAGCTTCTTTCCCACATTGTTGCTCCTATCCAGGTTGTAGGTTCTCTTTGGTTTCTTATTGTGCGGCAGATTTGCATGATGTCTTGCTAAATTTTTCTGTTTTTAGTGAAACTGATTGTTTAGTTTGAATGTATGATGTTGATTTGAAAAAAATCGAATCAAGGCTGTGATTAAGAAATCTTAGTTTGAGAAGGAAAATGCAGCAGCCTGCTTGTTTTTGTTCCAGAAACTCTTGCTGAATTTCTTGTCTTTTCTTTTGTTGCGTTTTCATACTCATAATTTGCTGTTTTTCTTTTTTTCCCGCAACAGCCCACACAAGCTGGTTTTGGTCATTTTCTTTTGCTAGCTTAATCTGATGTTGAAGGGGAAGTGGGTGAGTGGTGTTGAGTTTGCATATTTGGGTCTTAAACACTTGAGCTAGGATCACAACCTTGTTGTAAAATGATCAACTCTAGTTGCCGAATGATTGCTGGACTTTTCTTCAAGCATTTGTGTGTTTTTCGTTCTATGTTTTGGTTTGTTTGGATGTTGGAATGGTGTGTCAGGTTGCTTAGATTAAATTTTGAGTGTTTGGGTTGAAAAGTTTTTGATCAAAAATTGGTTGAGATTGATAGCTGGTGCGGCATTGTTTGGATTGCAGAAAACTTCACCAATAAATGTTCTTGTTGCAGCCAATGTTTCCGTAGCTTTGCATAGTTTTTCATGAATCTATTTTTGAAAATTGCACTTTGACCCCCCAAGTCTCCCTTTGTCGCATTGTGGCCAAATTACATTCCAGTCTTTTGCAATTGAGTCCTAAATTAATTGCAATTGGGACTATTGCTTGACTTTTTCTTTGCCCCTGGACCCTTGAAGTTCCTAAAAGTGTTTGATTAGGTTTGAGTGCTTGGTTAGCGTTCGCAATTGAGTCCTTGGTAGCCTCAACTTTGCAATTCGATTGCTCGTTTGCTTTCATTTGTTTAGGTGGTACTTAATGCATGAATTTGTGAACTTTATGATCAAGCGAGCTTGTGTTTGCTTATTTTCTTTAATTTTTCCAAATAAAGTGGTATCTTGACCTTTTTATTGTTTTGAAGCCATTTTTCTTCATTTGGACAAACGGGGGAGGTATAACTTCTTTTATCCCTTTTTGGTATCTCCTATGTGATCCAACGTGCTAAGTGAGAATTGCATGTCTACTTGCTTCCCTTGTTTTTCTTTAATTCCTTTTATTTACTTCATTTACTTTTGCTTTTTATTTAAGTTATTCTTTATGGGGTTTGTGTACACATCTTGGCTTGTAATAGAT